CGCAGCGTCTGTGGATTTCTGAGTGATCGGATTGTTCAAACGGGCACTAGGAAACCGTCTTCCTCACACTATAGATTGATTGTGGAAATTCTCGAGGATGAGTGGCGTGCTTTGAATATGAGAGCCTTAGATGGGGCTTTTAGCAATGGAAACTACGTTACAGGGCTCTTATGAAAATAAACGATCCTCACACAGAGCATGATCGGACGCGACAACACTGACTATAAAGACATGGTAAAGCTTCAAAGTCGTTTTAATATAACTTAGCCTTCGAATACATTGAAAACTTACACGGTTTATTTGTACTGTCTTGTAGAGCATTTAAAATATGAGGCTTAACAGTTGACTTGGCAGGTACTTTCTTCTTCACCACGGTCCCCACCCCGTCACTCAGCGGTAAGTCTGGGAGCTTACCATGCTAAAAATTAGGTTTCGATACCCGCGGTTGAAAGAGCCCAGTTACTCCATTTTTAACTTTGCACTTAACAACAAACAAACAATCTTAACCTCAGATCTAGAGATTATTTTGTCATGTTAGGTTTTATATCACTTAATTTGTCAATACATTTCTGTTTTACCACCCACATTCTTTCAGTTATATGACAAGCGATTCTCTTCAACAGCAATCAAAATCTATAAAACGTTTTTGGTTTACTTATCAACGTCTAAAGATGGTAAATGTGTGCTTTTAATGTAAATTAAAATCATCAGATTATGTAGCGAGTTCAGACGTACCACATTGATCCTTTACAAGGAAAAGGATTTTCAATATAAAATAACGTGATTTATTATGATAAGGTGTGACGGATTTATTATTATATATTTATTTTAATATCGACGCTTGTTTAGATTAAATTTATATTTAGAAACATACATAGCTTATACTGTTAAATATATATTGTGAAATTCCCGTCTATTCTCTAAAGTTGTAGAAGATTCTCGAGTGTAAGAAGTAACAATATATGTACGTACATAAATGCTTAATGTAGCTTTGTATTGTTGCGTAATCTGAATTTTTGAGAAACTCTCCACACGCCTATAAATATAAACAACGCGACGCGCCAAAAAAGAATATATATTATTGGTTTGCTATAGTCAGTGTGCTATAAACTTCAGAAGCTAAAACTACAATTGTGATTAGCGCTTATTAATCGGAAACTTCAGATATTTAACCAGGGGCATTTACAAAGTTCGAACATTAGTGTTTTTACGAAAATATTATATAACTTCATAGTGGAAAGCTCGGCGTGTGTGACTGGTGAATAACGAAGGACAAAGCTAGCTAGCTCCCCGTGAAGCGAATTGTACTTACGTCAAATCGTAATTAACTCGTTCATCATGAACCCTCGATAAGACATCAAGGAAGTTCCAAACTAGAAAGAAGACTTTATATTGCTTGTAAGTTTGTGAAACTTTTGTATATAAATCATTGTTCGTAATAACTATTTATAATAACTGTTATTGTAAATTGTATTGTTGTTTGTATATTAAAACATATTTGTATTAAAAAAGAAAACTGTGTGTATCAATCTTGTTTGCAAATGTCATAAATTGGAGATATATCGCCATTTAATTAACTACTAAATTTAAATTATCATTTAGCCCAGTTTCAGGCCGTTCGAAATTGTAATAAGTAACACAAGGATATAACACAAAGACAAAATGCAAGTGCATCTAATTTAATTCTAATATTTTGGCAACCACGAGAGGAGTTTAACTAACAAAAAAATGCTTTAAAAAAATAACATTGCTTTGTAACTTTGAATTGATATTGACTTCCTCCAGTGTTATTGAATTATCGAGTTAACTTTCCAGCCCGATGAAATCCCCCCTCGAGGGGCTTCGTGATATTCAACTGAACATGGTATACACTTTCTGTGGTATATGCGTGTGCGCGTAAACTATAATTCAAGGTGGTTTCATTTCAAGATGAACATGCATAACAAAATCTGAATCTTTTTTTTAAACAAAATGTTCTTTATTTAATAGGTTCCGTAGCATCACTGACTACTACTCAGTATAAAAACAAGAAAACAGCTAAACGTTTTTGAAAATTAATAAAAACCAAAATATATAAGTACTATATTCAA